ACCTTGTGTACCCACACCCTCATATCTTCCATCATGACGAGACTTAGGAACCCCTACAACATCCACTCCTGACAAATAGTTAGAACAAAACTCAATTGCTTCTTCTGCAATGTACCTCTCAATAATCGATGCTTCCGGACGGTGTGGGTTTTTTGTATACCCTTTTAGAATCTTCATGTATCGCTCTATTGGATACATCCACCGTAAAAAAACTGGACCACATAATCTAATCTCCCTTACTAGATGAACAATCAAGTGAACCATAATGTCAAAAAATGAAGGAGGAAAATACATCTCTAATTGGCACAAGATAACTGCAGCCTCATTTTCCAAATCGTCTAACTTTAGTGGATCAATGGTTTTACAACAAATTGCATTGAAAAATAAGCATAACCTAGTTATGGTCTTCCTTACGTTGTTAGGCAATATCCCACGAATAGCCAATGGTAGTAGTTGTTGCATTAAGACATGACAGTCGTGAGATTTTAAGCCAACTAATTTAAAATCTTTAACTGATACAAGCCTCTTGACATTTGATGAGTAACCATGCGGCACTTTGATACTTTGTAAACACTCACAAAAACTTGTTTTCTCTTTTTAGACAAAGTGTAGCAGGCAGGAGGCAAATATGTCTTGTTACCTATATATTGTGGGGTTAACTCTTCTCGTATACCCATCAAACCCAAATCCAGACGAGCATTAATACCATCTTTTGTCTTGCCTTGAATGTTGAGAAGTGTTCCGATTACACTATCGCATACATTTTTCTCCACATGCATCACATCAATACAATGTCTTACATCAAGACTAGACCAATATGGAAGATCGAAGAAAATCGATCTCTTTTTCCATACATTTTTCACAGTAGATCGTTTTTGGTACTTTCCAAAGATAACATCAAGTCCCTGTTGTCGCTGATAAACTTCCTCTCCAGACAAGGGCTTTGGAGCAACACCATGCTCTTGTTCCCCATTGAAAGCTTTCCGCAATCTACGATATGGATGATAACGTTTTAGAAATTTTCGATGCCCGAGATAAACGGTCTTCTTTCCTTTTTCAAGCTGATGGTAACAAGTGTCTTTTTCACATATAGGACATGCATTATGCCCTTTAACTTTATACCCAGACAAATTACCATATGCCGGAAAATCATTGATGGTGCAAAACAACATGGCACGCATATTGAACTGTTCGCCAGAATACGCATCAAAAACATCCACCCCTTCATCCCACAACACTCTTAAATCATCAATCAGTGGACTTAGATAAACGTCTATGTCATTTCCTGGTTGTTTTGGGCCCGATATCATCATCGATAACATAATATATTTACGCTTCATGCACAGCCTAGGAGATAGGTTGTAAATCATCAAGAGAACAGGCCAAGAACTATGGTTAGTACTCAGATTACCGAACGGATTCATTCCATCAGTAGCAAGTCCAAGTCTAAGGTTTCTCGACTCTTTGCCAAAATTTGGAAACAAAGAATCTATTTTCTTCCATTGCAAAGAATCAGCTACATGACGAATTTGTCCATCATATTTTCTTTCTTCTGCATGCCATCTAAGATTCTTTGCGTCATCTGCATTGGCGAATAATCTCTTGAACCTTGAAATTATTGGTAGGTACCATACCACTTTCGCAGGAGGACCCTTTTTTACCACCTCATCATCAATTGACTCACCATCTTTCTTTTTGTAGCGTGAAGCCTTACACTTTGGACAATGATTATACTTTTCATACTCTTTTCTGTATAATATGCAATCATTAGGGCATGCATGTATCTTTTCATACTCCAAACCCATTGGACACAATATTTTCTTCGCCTCGTAATAACGACTTGGCATTACATTACCTTCTGGAAGCATTTCGGTCAACAATTCAAGTAACTCGGTAAAACTTTTGTCAGTCCACCCATTCTTTGCCTTCAGATTAAATAATTTTAACACGGCTGACAGACGTGTAAATTTTTTGCATCCCGGGTACAATGGTTTATCCTTGTCATTGCATATAGTATCATACGTATGTGCCCTCTTAAACGAATCTTGTCCAATATCACGCATCATGTCTTCTAGATGATCATCCATTTCTACACTAACACCATCTCTTTGAGACACGTTTGACTTTGCTACTACTTCACCGTGCCATATCCATTTTGTATAACTTTGACAAATCCCTACACAAATTAGATGATCCATGATTTCTTTCTTACTACGTTTTGGTTCTTTATTTGCACAACGAATACATGGACAGAGAAAAAGCGTAGGAAGACTTTTCTCAGCATTACTTTCAGCAAACTGTAGAAATTCCATCACTCCATGTTCGTACTCGTCACTTAATCGATTAGCTCTCATCCAACTACGATCCATAACTATGTTCACACGGAGGAAGGTCTGACGAACGGTGTGTCCGCGGCTGTGCTACTTCACGGAGATTCCGAGATTGCAAGTTGCGCTGCTTCGCGGAGAAAGACAAATAGAATCAAATTTCAATGGCAAGGTGATAACTCTATTAACAATTTATTACTAATTGTTATTATTTTTACACTTTGCACCACTAATACATAACTGATTCTCACTGGTTTCCTTTTCTAATAATTTCAAAACGATCATCATATATTCAATTTTTGTCTCAGAACCTGTAAATACTTAATAATATAACAATCTTCATGTTTCACTCTTCACCATCATGATCATGAAATTTCACACTGCACAAACACTAACATACACCATATTTTCTTGAAACAAGTAGCTTGTTGCATTAGTTAAAGTTACTAAGTTTAGTATCTATAAACATGTATAACTTTATCTTAAGGAAGAACCATAGAAATTTAAACTATCGTATACTAGCCAACTGCATAATATTGATATGTAATGTAACATAGCGTAAATGCATAAAAATGCTGAAATTGTAATGAAAAAGAAAATGCAAAAAAAAAAAAGAAATAGAATTAGAACGAACCCCAGAATGATTTGCAGAATGATTTGCAGAAGACGGGACTGATGAATCGGCGACGAGGAAGCAGTAGAATGGGTGTTGGAGGCGGTATGCGTCGCGGAAGTGGTGTTGGCGGCAACGGTGTAGGCAGCGACAACTATTTAAAATTGTTATCGCAAAATAAAAATTGATTAAAACATGAACAAACCCCCACAAGCAAGAATAACATATTAACATGATAATGACATTGAAACTTCAACCAAATTAAAATCAAGTGAACATATTATTAAAATCTCATTCAAATTTAAAACAAGCGAAAAAACAACCTCGCAACACGATCACAAGCACATTGACAAACCGAAACTCCATTATCAACTTCAAAATACCGATGTCAAACTATAATTATCATATCATCAAAGTTTATCTTTCGATTCCAAACCAAAAATCTCACAAATATATGAATAGAAATGAAATGTATGATCAGAAATGCAGCAAAACTTCCACTGTCAACTAGCATCCTAATGTCATTAAAGTCAAGGTAAACTAGTACTAACTCAAGTTACTACCCAATTCCACTTCAAAACATGAAAACCAAGTTTCAAAATAAGCTTTAATCACCTAAATCAAAAATCGGCCAGCGACAACACATACATAATTATGCCAAAAAATTCAACTCAAACATATTTGAAACCAAAGAGAAACACCAAAAATGTCATTAACATCTCTTAAATTAATTAAGGCAACATGGTATCAACACCAAACGTGACTCATATTTAACATAGATAACACAAAGATCATGGTATTGACACAAAAAGTGTATATACTTCTCTATATTCTCAGCCACCTATAGTATGTTACTGGATCAATAATTAAAAGTGTATATATATAATTAAATGAAACTAAACTAATTATGTATTTAAGTGTGTCATTGAATTGGACTGAATTGCTTCTCATGTGAAGTGACATATTTTTAGAAAGAATAGTATTTTTATTTTTTTCACTAATCAACTGGTACGTATGGATGAGTACTAGAAAAAGCATATACTTGAGGGAGTTATTATTTGTTTTGCATTCTCAAAATAGTTGCTAAAATTAACTACTATTTTCCTAAAGGAAACTAATTAGCATATGCACTTAGTAGTTAATTAAAGTCAATGATTGAAAGATTTGTTTTATATTCGGTCCACATGGCATAGTGGTGGTGGTTCTTTTCATCATCCTTACCTAACGGGCTTAAAGAAATGGTTTTGGCTTATGTCATGGCAACAAATGAATGCAACTTATGTTCACTTATTATATATTTATATAATAAAATAATATATATGATAAATATAAATATAAATGATGAATAATCCAATTGTAGAAGTAGTTTAGAACTGGATTTCTAAAATATGAATATAAATGATGAATGATTTAATTGTAGAAATTTGATAGCAATTATGCTTAAGCGATTCTATTGTCACAAACAAACAGAACACATGGTTAGCATGAGAGTAGTTTGAACTCAAAGAGATTTGGTATAGTGATCACCGTCAAGATTGACAACATAATAACATGGTAATCTTTGATTCATCACAAATGGCATACCAACAATTAGCTCATAACATTATCCAACTTCATCATTTAGCTTAAGATAAACAACATCTCCATTTCATCAAAAATCTAACACAAGCAACACCATAATCATCAATTAAAACCTCAATCAAAATAACTCAAGTGACACGATTTTAGACAAAAAAATCTCATTCCAATTTGACACAAACAACATCATAAATCCAATACACACTTCAACAATTATCTCAATGCTTTATCATTCAATTCTAACATTAATGACAAATCAAAAATTAATTCAAATGAAAATGGTGAAAGATATATAAATTACCAACAAAAATAATGGTGATAGAAGGTGTTGTATTGAAGTTGATGAGTTGCTTTGAACGTGACAGGTTGTTGTGTAGACAGAGAAGAGGGCAGGCCCGAGGAATAGCGTCAGAAGGAGTATTGAACAAAAGAAGTGGGTTTATGAGGTTTGACGAAAGTTGTATGGGTTATTCAGTTGCAAAATGAAAGAAGTGTGTTGTGAACATGAGGGTTTCTCGGATGGTTCACGGTGGTGTTGTTCGGTGGGGAGGGATGGTCGAACGGAGGAAGGTATCATGAGTATGGAGTATGAAGATGGCAAGGTCGCTGGATATACACCGAGTAACAAGTTCGGTTTGAAAAGAGGGAGTAATGGAGTGTGGGTACGAGTTGGGTGGTGGCCGAAAAGGAATGGCGAAGGGATGAAGAGGGAATAGAGACTAGGTTTAGAAGGTTGAGGTGGGTTGTTCGTTGAAGCAGATTGTGAGGGAGTAATAGGTTTTTTTTTTTTTTTAAAAATAATTCTTAGGATTTTACATCGGTGGGATATTTCCACCGATTTAATAGTTTTTTTTTTTTTAAATAATGCTTAGGCTTTTACATCGGTGGAATATTTCACCGATATAATAGGTTTTTTTTTTTTAAATAATGCTTAGGCTTTTACATCGGTGGGAACTTCCACCGATTTAATATGTTTTTTTTTTTCCACGTTTTTATTAATTTTCAATATAATTTATATATTAATTCAAAGAATCATTTTTTACATCGGTTTGTCTTTAGACCGATGTAATAGCTTTCTTATATTTTTTTTAACTTTTTTGTCACCTTGTTTCTTATTTACAAAAATGCCACCGTGTTTTTTTTCTGGAAATCTTTTACATCGGTGGATGAGATTACCCGATGTAATAGGTGACGAAAAAAATTTTTTCCCTTATTTTTTATATCATTGGAAATAAATACCTGATGTAAAAAGTTTGTTAACTGTATTTTTTACATCACCTATTTTGATACCCGATGTAAAAACCTTTTCTCAAATATCTTTTTTTTAGTAGTGTTGTTAAGGGAAATGAATATTTTTTCATAAACAATAGCGTCGGCCTGAACCGTCGCTAATATAAAAAAATAAATAATTATTTAAGACTATAAATAAAAAGGAGGTAAACGAAATTGGTGGGATGAAATGGAATTTCCGCACAAACAGTAGCATCGATCCAAATAAATGATTGGTCAACACCAAGTATTTTTATCCAAATCAATCCATTTTCAAAATATTTTCATAACAAATGCACTCGAAGGACACATGCACTAATTAGTGAAGAAGGAATGATTAAATGTATGTACCTTTTTTTAGTCCTAGGACGCATGCTGTATAGGTTATCGTTCGAATGCTCACCTTAACTCACAAACTATAGTTTTATTCGTGCTAAATACTTTTGCAATAAAATGGAGGAAAATGACTAATTAGGTGTATGCTCCTCAGATGAAGATTATGATAAAAACAAAGACAAGTGATCTCTACAGTTTAAAATGGTAAACCAACTCTCAATAAGAACAAAAAGAAACAAACTATACACAATAAAAGCTATTTAATAGCACTTTCTTTTGTTTTTGATAACCCTTAGAACCACTATTAACTGCGTAGCTATTGTATACAATTTTGTTTAATTGCAATTTAAAAGCGCTATTAAAGTACTTGTTTTTAATATAAAAAATAATAATTAAATAAAACAAAACCTTTAAAGGAGGCAAATGTAATTGGTGGGAGGAAATGAAATTTTTTGTACAAATAGTAGTGTCGGTCTGAACTGTCGCTAATATAAGAAAATAATAATTAATTAAGACAATAACTAATAAGGAGGCAAACGAAATTTGTTATGGGAAATGAATATTTTTTCATAAACAATAGCGTCGGCCTGAACCGTCGCTAATATAAAAAAATAAATAATTATTTAAGACAATAAATAAAAAGGAGGTAAACAAAATTGGTGGGATGAAATGAAATTTCCGCACAAACAGTAGCATCGATCCAAATAAATGATTGGTCAACACCAAGTATTTTTATCCAAATCAATCCATTTTAAAAATATTTTCATAACAAATGCACTCGAAGGACACATGCACTAATTAGTGAAGAAGGAATGATTAAATTTATGTACCTTTTTTTAGTCCTAGGACGCATGCTGTATAGGTTATCGTTTGAATGCTCACCTTAACTCACGAACTATAGTTTTATTCGTGCTAAATACTTTTGCAATAAAATAGAGGAAAATGACTAATTAGGTGTATGCTCCTCAGATGAAGATTATGATAAAAACAAAGACAAGTGATCTCTACTGTTTAAAATGGTAAACCGACTCTCAATAAGAACAAAAAGAAACAAACTATACACAATAAAAGCTATTTAATAGCACTTTCTTTTGTTTTTGATAACCCTTACAACCACTATTAACTGCGTAGCTATTGTATACAATTTCGTTTAATTGCAATTTAAAAGCGCTATTAAAGTACTTGTTTTTAATATAAAAAATAATAATTAAATAAAACAAAACCTTTAAAGGAGGCAAATGTAATTGGTGGGAGGAAATGAAATTTTTTGTACAAATAGTAGCGTCGGTCTGAACTGTCGCTAATATAAGAAAATAATAATTAATTAAGACAATAACTAATAAGTAGGCAAACGAAATTTGTTATGGGAAATGAATATTTTTTCATAAACAATAGCGTCGGCCTGAACCGTCGCTAATATAAAAAAATAAATAATTATTTAAGACTATAAATAAAAAGGAGGTAAACGAAATTGGTGGGATGAAATGAAATTTCCGCACAAACAGTAGCATCGATCCAAATAAATGATTGGTCAACACCAAGTATTTTTATCCAAATCAATCCATTTTCAAAATATTTTCATAAAAAATGCACTCGAAGGACACATGCACTAATTAGTGAAGAAGGAATGATTAAATGTATGTACCTTTTTTTAGTTCTAGGACGCATGCTGTATATGTTATCGTTCGAATGCTCACCTTAAATCACAAACTATAGTTTTATTCGTGCTAAATACTTTTGCAATAAAATGGAGGAAAATGACTAATTAGGTGTATGCTCCTCAGATGAAGATTATGATAAAAACAAAGACAAGTGATCTCTACTGTTTAAAATGGTAAACCTACTCTCAATAAGAACAAAAAGAAACAAACTATACACAATAAAAGCTATTTAATAGCACTTTCTTTTGTTTTTGATAACCCTTAGAACTACTATTAACTGCGTAGCTATTGTATACAATTTCGTTTAATTGCAATTTAAAAGTGCTATTAAAGTACTTGTTTTTAATATAAAAAATAATAATTAAATAAAACAAAACCTTTAAAGGAGGCAAATGTAAATGGTGGGAGGAAATGAATTTTTTTTTACAAATAGTAGTGTCGGTCTAACCTGTCGCTAATATAAGAAAATAATAATTAATTAAGACAATAACTAATAAGGAAGCAAATGAAATTTGTTATGGGAAATGAATATTTTTTCATAAACAATAGCGTCGGCCTGAACCGTTGCTAATATAAAAAAATAAATAATTATTTAAGACAATAAATAAAAAGGAGGTAAACGAAATTGGTGGGATGAAATGAAATTTCCGCACAAACAGTAGCATCGATCCAAATAAATGATTGGTCAACACCAAGTATTTTTATCCAAATCAATCCATTTTAAAAATATTTTCATAACAAATGCACTCGAAGGACACATGCACTAATTAGTGAAGAAGGAATGATTAAATTTATGTACCTTTTTTTAGTCCTAGGACGCATGCTGTATAGGTTATCGTTTGAATGCTCACCTTAACTCACGAACTATAGTTTTATTCGTGCTAAATACTTTTGCAATAAAATGGAGGAAAATGACTAATTAGGTGTATGCTCCTCAGATGAAGATTATGATAAAAACAAAGACAAGTGATCTCTACTGTTTAAAATGGTAAACCGACTCTCAATAAGAACAAAAAGAAACAAACTATACACAATAAAAGCTATTTAATAGCACTTTCTTTTGTTTTTGATAACCCTTAGAACCACTATTAACTGCGTAGCTATTGTATACAATTTCGTTTAATTGCAATTTAAAAGCGCTATTAAAGTACTTGTTTTAAATATAAAAAATAATAATTAAATTAAACAAAACCTTTAAAGGAGGCAAATGTAATTGGTGGGAGGAAATGAAATTTTTTGTACAAATAGTAGCGTCGGTCTGAACTGTCGCTAATATAAGAAAATAATAATTAATTAAGACAATAAATAATAAGTAGGCAAACGAAATTTGTTATGGGAAATGAATATTTTTTCATAAACAATAGCGTCGGCCTGAACCGTCGCTAATATAAAAAAATAAATAATTATTTAAGACTATAAATAAAAAGGAGGTAAACGAAATTGGTGGGATGAAATGAAATTTCCGCACAAACAGTAGCATCGATCCAAATAAATGATTGGTCAACACCAAGTATTTTTATCCAAATCAATCCATTTTCAAAATATTTTCATAAAAAATGCACTCGAAGGACACATGCACTAATTAGTGAAGAAGGAATGATTAAATGTATGTACCTTTTTTTAGTTCTAGGATGCATGCTGTATAGGTTATCGTTCGAATGCTCACCTTAACTCACAAACTATAGTTTTATTCGTGCTAAATACTTTTGCAATAAAATGGAGGAAAATGACTAATTAGGTGTATGCTCCTCAGATGAAGATTATGATAAAAACAAAGACAAGTGATCTCTACTGTTTAAAATGGTAAACCTACTCTCAATAAGAACAAAAAGAAACAAACTATACACAATAAAAGCTATTTAATAGCACTTTCTTTTGTTTTTGATAACCCTTAGAACTACTATTAACTGCGTAGCTATTGTATACAATTTCGTTTAATTGCAATTTAAAAGTGCTATTAAAGTACTTGTTTTTAATATAAAAAATAATAATTAAATAAAACAAAACCTTTAAAGGAGGCAAATGTAAATGGTGGGAGGAAATGAATTTTTTTTTACAAATAGTAGTGTCGGTCTGAACTGTCGCTAATATAAGAAAATAATAATTAATTAAGACAATAACTAATAAGGAAGCAAACGAAATTTGTTATGGGAAATGAATATTTTTTCATAAACAATAGCGTCGGCCTGAACCGTTGCTAATATAAAAAATAAATAATTATTTAAGACAATAAATAAAAAGGAGGTAAACGAAATTGGTGGGATGAAATGAAATTTCCGCACAAACAGTAGCATCGATCCAAATAAATGATTGGTCAACACCAAGTATTTTTATCCAAATCAATCCATTTTAAAAATATTTTCATAACAAATGCACTCGAAGGACACATGCACTAATTAGTGAAGAAGGAATGATTAAATTTATGTACCTTTTTTTAGTCCTAGGACGCA